ATACTGGCCCTGTGTTAACGTGATGTCATATCATACCAATCAACTTAATACTGGCCCTGTGTTAACGTGATGTCATATCATACCAATCAACTTAATACTGGCCCTGTGTTAACGTGATGTCATATCATACCAATCAACTTAATACTGGCCCTGTGTTAACGTGATGTCATATCATACCAATCAACTTAATACTGGCCCTGTGTTAACGTGATGTCATATCATACCAATCAACTTAATACTGGCCCTGTGTTAACGTGATGTCATATCATACCAATCAACTTAATACTGGCCCTGTGTTAACGTGATGTCATATCATACCAATCAACTTAATACTGGCCCTGTGTTAACGTGATGTCATATCATACCAATCAACTTAATACTGGCCCTGTGTTAACGTGATGTCATATCATACCAATCAACTTAATACTGGCCCTGTGTTAACGTGATGTCATATCATACCAATCAACTTAATACTGGCCCTGTGTTAACGTGATGTCATATCATACCAATCAACTTAATACTGGCCCTGTGTTAACGTGATGTCATATCATACCAATCAACTTAATACTGGCCCTGTGTTAACGTGATGTCATATCATACCAATCAACTTAATACTGGCCCTGTGTTAACGTGATGTCATATCATACCAATCAACTTAATACTGGCCCTGTGTTAACGTGATGTCATATCATACCAATCAACTTAATACTGGCCCTGTGTTAACGTGATGTCATATCATACCAATCAACTTAATACTGGCCCTGTGTTAACGTGATGTCATATCATACCAATCAACTTAATACTGGCCCTGTGTTAACGTGATGTCATATCATACCAATCAACTTAATACTGGCCCTGTGTTAACGTGATGTCATATCATACCAATCAACTTAATACTGGCCCTGTGTTAACGTGATGTCATATCATACCAATCAACTTAATACTGGCCCTGTGTTAACGTGATGTCATATCATACCAATCAACTTAATACTGGCCCTGTGTTAACGTGATGTCATATCATACCAATCAACTTAATACTGGCCCTGTGTTAACGTGATGTCATATCATACCAATCAACTTAATACTGGCCCTGTGTTAACGTGATGTCATATCATACCAATCAACTTAATACTGGCCCTGTGTTAACGTGATGTCATATCATACCAATCAACTTAATACTGGCCCTGTGTTAACGTGATGTCATATCATACCAATCAACTTAATACTGGCCCTGTGTTAACGTGATGTCATATCATACCAATCAACTTAATACTGGCCCTGTGTTAACGTGATGTCATATCATACCAATCAACTTAATACTGGCCCTGTGTTAACGTGATGTCATATCATACCAATCAACTTAATACTGGCCCTGTGTTAACGTGATGTCATATCATACCAATCAACTTAATACTGGCCCTGTGTTAACGTGATGTCATATCATACCAATCAACTTAATACTGGCCCTGTGTTAACGTGATGTCATATCATACCAATCAACTTAATACTGGCCCTGTGTTAACGTGATGTCATATCATACCAATCAACTTAATACTGGCCCTGTGTTAACGTGATGTCATATCATACCAATCAACTTAATACTGGCCCTGTGTTAACGTGATGTCATATCATACCAATCAACTTAATACTGGCCCTGTGTTAACGTGATGTCATATCATACCAATCAACTTAATACTGGCCCTGTGTTAACGTGATGTCATATCATACCAATCAACTTAATACTGGCCCTGTGTTAACGTGATGTCATATCATACCAATCAACTTAATACTGGCCCTGTGTTAACGTGATGTCATATCATACCAATCAACTTAATACTGGCCCTGTGTTAACGTGATGTCATATCATACCAATCAACTTAATACTGGCCCTGTGTTAACGTGATGTCATATCATACCAATCAACTTAATACTGGCCCTGTGTTAACGTGATGTCATATCATACCAATCAACTTAATACTGGCCCTGTGTTAACGTGATGTCATATCATACCAATCAACTTAATACTGGCCCTGTGTTAACGTGATGTCATATCATACCAATCAACTTAATACTGGCCCTGTGTTAACGTGATGTCATATCATACCAATCAACTTAATACTGGCCCTGTGTTAACGTGATGTCATATCATACCAATCAACTTAATACTGGCCCTGTGTTAACGTGATGTCATATCATACCAATCAACTTAATACTGGCCCTGTGTTAACGTGATGTCATATCATACCAATCAACTTAATACTGGCCCTGTGTTAACGTGATGTCATATCATACCAATCAACTTAATACTGGCCCTGTGTTAACGTGATGTCATATCATACCAATCAACTTAATACTGGCCCTGTGTTAACGTGATGTCATATCATACCAATCAACTTAATACTGGCCCTGTGTTAACGTGATGTCATATCATACCAATCAACTTAATACTGGCCCTGTGTTAACGTGATGTCATATCATACCAATCAACTTAATACTGGCCCTGTGTTAACGTGATGTCATATCATACCAATCAACTTAATACTGGCCCTGTGTTAACGTGATGTCATATCATACCAATCAACTTAATACTGGCCCTGTGTTAACGTGATGTCATATCATACCAATCAACTTAATACTGGCCCTGTGTTAACGTGATGTCATATCATACCAATCAACTTAATACTGGCCCTGTGTTAACGTGATGTCATATCATACCAATCAACTTAATACTGGCCCTGTGTTAACGTGATGTCATATCATACCAATCAACTTAATACTGGCCCTGTGTTAACGTGATGTCATATCATACCAATCAACTTAATACTGGCCCTGTGTTAACGTGATGTCATATCATACCAATCAACTTAATACTGGCCCTGTGTTAACGTGATGTCATATCATACCAATCAACTTAATACTGGCCCTGTGTTAACGTGATGTCATATCATACCAATCAACTTAATACTGGCCCTGTGTTAACGTGATGTCATATCATACCAATCAACTTAATACTGGCCCTGTGTTAACGTGATGTCATATCATACCAATCAACTTAATACTGGCCCTGTGTTAACGTGATGTCATATCATACCAATCAACTTAATACTGGCCCTGTGTTAACGTGATGTCATATCATACCAATCAACTTAATACTGGCCCTGTGTTAACGTGATGTCTCATATCATACCAATCAACTTAATACTGGCCCTGTGTTAACGTGATGTCATATCATACCAATCAACTTAATTGGGCTCGAGCACATCACAGATGGTTATTACAGCAATGGAATAATGTTTTATTTTCGGATTAGTTGTAATTTTGTTTTGGATTGGCCTGCAAAATCACCAGATTTGTCTCAAATAGAGCACATTTGGGACATTATGGGGAGGGTGGCCAAAATCAGCCCTCCAACCTGTAGAAGCTTATCCAGGCATTGATTGAGGAGTGGAACAACATCCCCCTCACATCATTAGATGTTTCATTAGCTCAATGTGGAGTTGTTTTAATGAAATCATTCTAGCTGATGTTGGTCAATCGCCGTAATAATCACGAAAACTTAAAAACATAACCCCCACCTGACATCAACGACCCAAAGTATCACTGAACGATTACAAATTATTAAAACATTTATTGTTCCAATAGCATACATCCCAATGAATCATTTCATACTGAATTCAACATATTTTAGCAAAACATGATACAGAGAAACCCGTTACAATTCTTGTTATCCTTCTTTTTTTGCTTGGTATATGTCAATCAGGTGCAAAGAGGAGATATCAGGAGAACACCTAGTGGTATACATAGGCCCTCTTAACCCTAGTGGTATACATAGGCCCTCTTAACACTAGTGGTATACATAGGCCCTCTTAACCATAGTGGTATACATAGGCCCTCTTAACACTAGTGGTATACATAGGCCCTCTTAACCCTAGTGGGATACATAGGCCCTCTTAACCCTAGTGCTATACATAGGCCCTCTTAACCCTAGTGCTATACATAGGCCCTCTTAACCCTAGTGCTATACATAGGCCCTCTTAACCCTAGTGGGATACATAGGCCCTCTTAACCCTAGTGGGATACATAGGCCCTCTTAACCCTAGTGGTATACATAGGCCCTCTTAATGTAAACCAAAGAATCAGACGGGAAGCAACTACTAAATCCAAGTGACCTTACCTGTACACAACAGGCGCCGACTAGTTTGACCTGCTAGGCACGCCATTGTCAGAGCAGCTTTATGGTGACGGACACATGGTGATGGTGGAGTTAAAACATCTACATGTCACTTACACTGTACCTATCAACAACACTCACCAAAGAAGTTGATAATGAGCAAAGGTAACGCAATATTTTGATTGGTGCACCATAGAAATATGAAGTCTGACAAGGATACAATGAGTGGTTATAGAGAAGTGTCAAAATGTTGGTCCAAAACACGACTTATCAATTTCTTCCTCAAAACTCTGATGACGGAAAACAAGTCAGCACCAATACAGGTATGGAAACTAGGATTCAGGATTTGCTTCTCTTCTCTTTCATTAAGTTCAGGAGTGAGATTGGTGAGGTATGTACCATATTTTCCTTAATTAGTGCACCCTCCCTGCCCCCTCTGTTTGGTAGGAATTTAAATTCTATAAAGCCCCTCCCCATCCCAGACCTTACCAGGATCAGTCAATGATTTACAATACTTGCACGTTTAAGCAGAGATTTATATCATGGTGATCATGGCTGAACTTCCTCATGAAGCTAAGGGATGGAATGTTTAAACCCCTAGACACACTGGAATGTATATAATGTCCTTCTGGTATATGGTGGCAATGGTTCAAGTTACACAACTTGTTCTGTCATAATTTACATTGCTTTATGATTAATCCTAATAAGCATTTACATTAATTTTTCAGCAACCTGGGCACTTAAAACATATATGGCAAATAATTAAGGCAGTACACAAAATCTCCAATGAGAAGATAATTATAAGGTACTAGGATAATGGAATAGTTACTTTGGAGTCCCCCAGAATGACTCTGCACTTGAGGATGTAAGCATCACCGAGACTGTCCATGTTCTCCGTGTAATGTACACATTTTAGGGGGTTGTCACTGTAAGTATAACAATCACATTTAAAACTGATTAACTTATTAAGTTATTTGACATAAACGCAATTTGACATACAGCAAGTTTGACATGATATTATCATCATACTGTGTGCCTGCTTCCTTCACAACACCATTTGTTTTCTGTGTATTGACATTTATGCTGATGAATTTTCTATATGAATATGTTAAAAGAAGATTCCTCTAATTGGAGGTTAGCATTCTGTTTTTTTTCTTTTTAAACAAATAAAGCAACATTTTTCTGATGTGTTGAATACTGTAAAATAGACATCAGTTTGATATCATGATCAATAAAGGATTGTGTAACCACTTTTATTCTATATGTGTGTCTTTTTGTATCAGTTTGCTCACTTCATTTCAAATTCAAACAAATACCTAGATATTTGTGATAAAGAATTTTTGAAATGTATTCAAAAGTGACAACTATTTTTCATGTCCTTCGCTTTTTACAAATGATTCAGACTTACCTGAAATAAATACCTTTACCGAAATAGCCCATTCGACTGAGCCTCTGATCCAGTCCCTCCTCACTGACACGACTCTTGTCAGCCTTTGTTCCATGGTACAGGTAGCGTATGTTTAGATCAAATCCTGAACACAAAAATCTTCAGTGAGCAATTATTGGCTGATTAAAAGGCTGAATAAACCCTCTACATTTCTCTCTACAGTACAATGTTTAAGAAATATTTAGTGGGTCCCAGGTGAAAATTGAGAAATACTTGTGTTCCTGGTATATTGAGAAATATTCAGGTCAAGTGAAGGGCTTGTGATGGGTAAATATACATTATGTTAAAAACTGTTAATCAAAGATAAATCATTAATGTTGAATGCATAGAGAAACAAGAGGCCGAATGGGCCTGCATTGTTCACCTGGTATTAATCTCCTCTTGTAACCTTAAAAGAGATCTAAAATAAAGCTACAGACAAAATATCAGTATTCATGATTTTAAGTCATTCAAAAGAACCTGTTACAAGATTTGAAAACATTTGACCCCTGTGACCTTAAAATAGAAAAAGTTCATTATGTTGAACAAATTTTATAGCCCTTCATCGCCGAATGCAACTTGCCAAATATCACCACCCTATCCTTTTGTTTATCAAGATTCGGTCATTTAATACATATTTGACCAAATGTGACCATGAAAGTGGGTGAAGGTCAATATAATGAAAAACCTTGGTAGCCCTGCCTCCAAGCAAAATACTGGCCGCAAAATTTCAACATTCTGGGCCTCATGGTTATTCAGAAGAAGTCATTTTAAGATTTTAAACAAATTTGACCCCTGTGACCTTGAATATAATTCAAGGTCATTATTTTTTTTTAAATTGGTAGCCTTTCATCCAAGCATGCCTACTGGCCAAATACCATCATCCTTAGCATTTTGGTTATTCAGAAGAAGTTGTTCAAAGTTGTTTTTTACATATTTGACCCATGTGACCATGAATATGATTGAAGGTCATTTATTTGAACAAACTTGGTAGCCCTTTATCCTAGCATGCTTCTGACCAAATATAATCATCCTGGTCCTTTTCATTATTCAGAAGAAGTTGTTTAAAGTTTTTTTTAGATGATTGGACCCTGTGACCTTGAATATCGGTGAAGACCATTTGTTTTTACAAAGTTGGTTGCCCTTCATCCTAGCACACTACAGGCCAGATATCATCATCCTGGGCATTTTTGTTAATCAAAAGAAGTCATTTAAAGATTTTAAACATATTTGACCCCTGTGACCTTGAATATAAGTCAAGGTCATTCATTTTAACAAACTTGGTAGTCCTGCATCCAAGCATAAAACTGGCCACATTTCAACATTCTGGGCCTCATGGTTTATTCAGAAGAAGTTGTTTAAGACGATTGACCCCTGTGACTCAACTATCAATGAAGGTCATTCATTTGAACAAACTTGGTAGCCCTTTATCCCAGCATGCTACTTGCTAAATATCATTATCCTAGGCCTTTTATCCCAGCATGCTACTTGCTAAATATCATTATCCTAGGCCTCTTGGTTTATCTGAAGAAGTTGTTTAAAGTTTTTAACATATTTGACCCCTTTCACGTTGAATAAGGGTAAATGTCATTTATTTGAACAACCTTGGTAGCTAGCCCTTCATCCCAGTTTGCACTGGCCAAATATCATCACCCTAGGTATTTTGGTTACTAAGAAGAAGTTTAAAGTAAAATATTGACGCCGGCTGGCCGGACGGCGGACATTGCACCACGACATAAGATTGGCCCTACATGCCAGATGAGCTAAAAATGGAATAATTTTGAAAAAGAGTAAACATTCCGAATGCATTTTTATTTTTATTTTAACTTATCATATTTATTTCATTAGTACATTATAAATGCCTGCTATATATCATACCTACATATAAATACATTGTATTTTTGTTTGAGGTATGTCTTTTGAATCTATAGTATATTCATAATAATCCAAAAATGACCTGATATAAACATATTTTTGATAGCCTTACAAATGTATTATCAATTAATTCAGTCCATTTATACATATATTACCACTCACATTCACAGTAAGACAGCACATATATCTAGGGAGAATCAGAAATCACATAATCTTACCTGAATGTCTTCGTCTTGTTGTGTCCTCCATCTCAGACTTAAACCTCTCTAATAAATATGTGTTTTGTATTCGTTCTATTTTAGTAATTTTAATTCCTGTTTCATTGAACTCGTCATCAATTTTATCATATTCCATTTGTCCTGGATGTAGCTCAACAAGTCTAACATCCATGGAGAGTCCAGGTCTCTGATTGGTTGATTCCATGTCGTCCGTCCAGTTAATAGGAATTCCATCAGTATCAAAAACAAATGGCCGTAGTTCTTCATCGTCACTATTTCTCTGCCACTTTGTCATATTATTTAACCTGAACTTGCGCTGTTGACTCTCCTGAATTGTTTCTGCCTCTGCTGAGCTTATTGCTCCCATTTTAAATAACTGTTCAATTTCTCTAGAAATGTCATCTTCATCCTCATTCCCTCGACTCCTCGGTCGCTCAGAAAAATTTGAAGCTCCTTGAATTTCAGGGCTATCTTCATCATCATGTGATAAAGTTTTTTCATTCAAATTTGAAGGTATTGTATTTCTATTTTCATTTGTTTGGCTGTTAGGGCTGTCCTCATTAGACAGATTATATTGACCACCATCTACAAGTGCTGTTTGTTGCCATACCATGTGCTCATCAGCCAGCGCCCCCATGTGACTGTCATCAGAACTATCTGACACACGAAACTGTCTAGCTCTCCTGAATGACATCATGGGAACAGATTTACTATTGACCTGAGGTAACAAGTTTCCTTCATGAAATGTCAGCAGGGGATCTGGATATGATGTTTGACCTGCAGGTGGTCCATCAGTTTCTATATCCCCTAACTGGCTGCTTCTCAACGTTCTGCCTTTTAATGATGAATACAGAAGACTTGTTTTGATGGCCCTATCAAGGTTTTGGTTTTCCTGTCTATATTGGTGTCCTGTTGATAAACAAAAATATGTTGTTAGTTTCTAACTAGAACACTGACAGGTCAGCAAGGGCCCCGCCATGTGCTTGACCGTAACTCCACCCCCAGTCTAATTCTAGTAACAGTAACTTTGACTTTAAAACCTTTTTTTACACCCTTATTGCACATATGTCTACATATCTCAGTGTATCATTATGTCAAATCTCAAAAGATCAGACTATTGGACTCCTAGATAAGGACTTTACTCAAGATTACCCCCCGATTGATTTTTAGTAACAGTGACCTTAAAATTAGAGTTTGGTTTGGTTTGTTTGCCATGGTCATTTAAGGACCTGTGGCCAGTACCTGGCGACTGCCCCATGTAAGCCTCGAACCTGCGACCAAGTGGTGGAGGGCCAGTGGTAGCAGAATGTCAGACATCTTAACCACTTCGCCACCGCGGCCCTTAGAGACTTTTTTAATCTCCATTGCAAATCTCCACGTCACAAAGTATGTATCACCATGTCGAAAATCTTTTGGATTCCAAAATATTCTCCAGAAATGAAAGTGTGGACAGACAGACCGACAGACACGTGATTACTTAAGGGCACCTGCATCTCTGCATGATGCATGGCTCTAATAATTAATCAATACAAGAAGCCCAGAGGGCCAGTATCGCTCACCTGGATATCTAATCAATCATGGCAAAATATTCTACAAATGAGATCCAAGGGAATATATCAGACCCCAAAGCCAATCCTTGTAGCATATCTGTATTAGATTTTTTATGCCCAGCAATTTAATGTATGGTTATATTATGGGGTGTGGATCTCAACTGTTTCCAAGCTGTGACTCAGAAACTAGGTCCCTAGGGTTATGGCCAGACCCCAGGATCAATTCTAATATCATGACTGCATTCCTTTCTTTATGCCCAACAATTGTATATATAGTTTTGGGGTGGGATCTTAACCATTTCAAAGTTATGACCCAGGGGTTAAGTCTCCAAGGGTGGGGCAGACCCCAAGGCCATCCTGGAAGCATATGTGCATTCATCTCTTTATACTCAGCGATTGTATATATAGCTATAGGGTGGGGATCTCAACTGTTTCCAAGCTGTGACTAAGAAACTAGGTCCCTAGGGGTTTGGTCACACCCCAGGGTCTATTCTAATATCCTGACTACATTCGTCTCTCTATGCCCATCATTTGTATATATATAGTTTTGGGGTGGGGATCTCATCCATTTCAAAGTTATGACCCAGGGACTATGTCTCCAAGGGTGGAGCCAAACCCTAGGGCCATCCTGGAAGCAAATGTGCATTCTTCTCTTTATACTCAGCAATTGTATATATATGTAATAAACTTTTTTGGGCCCCACCCCTTAGTCCGGGGGATTTGCCCCACCATTTGTACAATTTTGAATCACCACTACCTAGGGATGCTTCCATTGCAAAATTGTTGATATCCATCTCTTAGTTCCAGATAAGAAGTCGCTTAAAGCAATATAGCCAAATTGCCCCTTTTTGGCCCCGCCCCTCAGCACCCTGGGGGGTCAGCCAAACCATTTGTACAATTTTGAATCCCCACTACCTAGGGATGCTTCCAGTCAAATTTAGTCAAATTCCAATCAGTGGTTAAGAAGAAGAAGTCGTTCAAAGAAGTTGAAAATGCTTAGCACATGCACAATAAAGAGTCGTTTTACTTGGGAAAAATGCATCTGACTCAATTGGTAATTTTGTTATATCCTGTCAAAGATTGACAAAGACTTACAAACATGATGTTGTTGTGATGTAATGCATTTCTACTGGGTATCACATTATAAAGTGTATGAATTAGTCTACAAATGTGACATTGTACCAGACTTGGCTCCAAGTTGTCGTGCTGCCAAAGTTTCCTGTTGTTGTATAAGGATAGCCAGCCGGCGATCTTTCTCCTCTTGTCGAGTGCTGGCTATTTGACATTGGGAGGCCATACACACTGTCAGCAATAGTACTAAAACATAGGAAAATACAAACAACATTAACACTATAATAATAACCACAATCACCTAGTGTTATGGGCGGATTGGTCGAGTGGTTACACTCCGACCTTCCACGCAGGCGGCCGGGGTTCGATCCCAGAAGTCGTCGTATGCATGAAATATTCAGAGAAAGTGTTTTTCTCCTGCCCACACAACTCCAACAATCATGTAGAGTAGAAAATGGTCTGGGGTGGATGTTGCTGTATCTGTGCTATATCAGTCAAGTGAGGTGGCACTATAAATTATACTGTTGGAAGAACGGTCCCACTACAAACAGAACACAATACATCTCCAGCACACATGCAGGCATACACATATAGGGAGATATTAGCCAGGTGGCATAGAACGAGCAGTTAGCGCCTGATAATTAAGGCAGCTCCTGCAAATTCCTCAAAATTGTATTGATTAATGAAATTAAGCTCTGCATGACCTTAGTTATATAAATTTTGTAGCATTCAGTTGGGTCATAATAGAGATAGACATGTTATAAGTCTAATGCTATTTTTAAAAAGACATCTGCAGCCTTAATGCTTTAAATCATATTATTGACTACGCTAATTCCTGGTTATGTACCTTTTTGATAGCTAATATCAGTGGTGGACCCACGGGTTTTGTCCTTATAGTTGCCCAGGCAACACCCTTTTTTTGTGTTCAAAAATAATCTGGACCAAGGTTTTTGAAGATTTTCTTCTATTTCATATGGGATTTCCTTCTAAAATCAACCATCCCTTGAACTATGATTTTCTACGGCTTCCCCTTGCCAGGAGTTTGCATATCTATATATATATGCCTAAGGGTGTTGCCCAAACAAGGAGTCCACTACTTATACTCTAAATAATAGGGGATTATATCCTCCATTGTCTATATATTAGTAGAGTAAAATAAAAACTGAGACTATAATACAAATATATCTATAGAGTTCTAATCTTTGGATAGACAGAAGAACGCTGTAACGTCTTTGTTCCGACCTCGGGCGGGGAGTTCCGACCAATAGGTCTGTTCGCCTACCCAGCAGCGATCCCAAGTCTATTCTAAAGATAAACGAATTCTCCCTTTTTTGTCCTCAAGTATAACTCTGCTTCCATGAACTGTTTAAAGACTCATGCATTTAAGTCCTCTTGTCCCATCGGCGTGACTTAAGTTAAGTTGACGCGGGTATGAGGAGAAGGCCAGCTGTGCTTTTGGACTTATAAAATGTTAGGTAAGGAAATTTAGGAATAATTAAATCTGAGTTGATTCAACAAGATTTAATTATTTATCGACAAACATGTGGTAGTTACAATATTTGAACCAAAATCATCAATATCATTAAAAAACTAAATAAATAAATTTCAAAATAAAAACTGAGACTATAATACAAATATATCTATAGAGTTCTAATATTTGGATAGACAGAAGAACGCTGTAACGTCTTTGTTCCGACCTCAGGCGGGGAGTTCCGACCAATAGGTCTGTTCGCCTACCCAGCAGCGATCCCAAGTCTAT